ACAGAATTAGGAAACAGAGAAGAGGTTTGGGAACCTGAAGAGGAATAGTGGAAGAGGGCAGAGACGAGCAGACAGAAAGAGAAGATGCCCTGTCCTGACACGTTCTCCTTGCAGAGACCCCATCCAGTACTTTACAGTCTATCTCACAGATTAGGAGTCAGGACCAGGGGAAGGACTGGGGGAAGAAGGTTCCACTCAGAGAAAACCGCATATGAAAAGGCCCTGAGGCAGGAGGAGATTTGAACACATACTTCACCAAATAAGCATATGAGAACATGCCCAATAATGGACTGCAAATTAAAGATGCAGTGAGATACTATACATCAATTAGAGTAGTTTAAAATGAAAACAAACAAATAACTGACAATGCCAAGTGCTGACAAGAATGTGGAGCAACTGAAACTCTCATTCATTGCTGATGGGAATGCAAAATGGCACAGCCACTTTAGAAAACAATTTTAAAGTTTCTCTTTGAGTTAAAGGTATATATTTATCATATATCTGCCCCCCCCAATCCTAGTCCTAAGAGAAATGAAAACTTATGTCCACACATGTTTATACCAGCTTTATTTGTAATTCTCCCAAACTGGAAAGAATCCAAATGCTGATGAATGATAAACTGTGGTACACCCATATAATGAATACTACTCATCAAGAAACAGGAACTAACTGATGTACCGAACAACTTGGATGGCTCTTGAGGGCATTATGCTGGAAGAAGCCAAACTCAGATGGCTACTTACTAATTCTACTTATAGGACATTTTGGAAAAGGCAAAACTATAGGGACAGAGAATAGAGAGTAGTTGTCAGGGACTGGGATAGCAGGGAGAGGATTGATTATAAAGAGAAATGGGAATTTTGGGGTGCTGGAAATAGTCTGTATCTTGATTGTAGTGGTGGTGGTTACATAACACTGTATTTTTTTCACAACTATAATAAAGCTATATACTCAGAAAGGGTGAATCTTACAGGATATAAAGCCGTAAACTCAATAAACTTGAAATAAAAATTATGTTTATTTTCCCACTGATACAGTAAGAACAGAAAATGTTTTTTTCAGAGCTTTAAATATGTATTTTTTTTCATGGTTCCTTTGCTATTGAAATAGAGAGCCCATAAAAGCCAATAAATACAAATTTGCTTTTCCCTTTTAGGTAAGGTGTTTTACTGCCTCTACCTAAATTAAGGCAATTCATGAGAGTCTCATAGAAAGAACACAGTTTTTCTCCTGACTTCACAGTCCATGCAGCCTATTTCTGGGGCTACACTTGTTCATAAGAAGTGAAGAGACTGGGTCACAGTAAAGGCTTTTTACTGGGTTCCAGTACCTTCCTGAAGGGCTTGGGCCTATAATATTACCTCTTCTAAGCTGGTGGCCAATTTGTTATCCTTCTTAAACTGGGAGAGACATCAGGGATATCAGGAGAAAAAGAAATACGGCCTTTCAACCTGTCCATCCCAGTATCCTTCACTGTCCTCAAATGACAGGGGCAGGGATAGAAAGGCCCACCAGGGTCCATTCTAAGCATACTGTCCAGGTAAGGCAGTGCATTCTGGAGCTACATGGCATAAGCTGGCTTCCCTCAGTGTGTGATGTCAGAAGATAACAGCTCCGGGTCAACCACCATGGTCTTGTCAACTGTGGAAAAGGTGCACGCACCCCTCAGACCTCATTTCAAAGAGCAGGGAGGTGTCTGAGGTGGGTGACAGAGTCACTTAGGAAGTGAACATGGTATCTGAGACCACTTCTGTGTGCAGGGATGGACGAGGTAAGAGACAGAGGGAGTCATGTAATAGATGGGTCTCTATTTCAGCAACTCTGCTGGTGGTCAGTTGTACCTAATCCCATTTTATCCTCACACCAGCCCTATAGGCTAATACGGTTTATCTTCAAAGACAGTACCTTTGCTCAAGCTTTCCCTTTTGCCCAGTATCTAAATGCTTTGTTTGTTGATTTAGCTAAAAGGGTAAACATGACATCTTTTACCTGTTTATGTAACAAGTTCCTCTACCCAAAGTATCTCATGGGTTTTCTTGACATCACAGATGGTCACTTTCAATGATCTGTGCCAGTGGAATGCAATAGCGCAACAGACCCAGTTCCCCAATCATGCATATTTGAGTTTAGAAGGAATTTCAAAGCTTAAATGTGATGTGGGTATCTCTCATTTGTAGGAATTGACAGAACTATGAATCAAAGGAATCTGATCATCAGAGAAGGAACCACTGATTAGGGACTGGGGAGCATCCCTCTTCTGCTCCTAGACGCTCTCTGCACCATTTTATTCTGAACAAGGCCCCACTGGTAGATAGTTGGCAAAGGGGCCCCTTCTTCCCCTCCTTGTATCCACTCCCTCCAATGTCACTCTACAACTCTTCTTATTAAGAGGTGGGGGAGGGGTTTCCCCACTTGAATCTGGGCTGCCCTTGTGTCTAGCAGCATGACAGGTGAGCCCAGGCCTCAAAAAGCCAGGCACATTTTTGCATGTTCCCTTAGAACCCTGTCACCACCAGAGAACAAGCCCAGGCCAGCCCGCTGCAAGAAGAGGGATCATGTGGGGAGGGCTCGGTCTAGCCCAGCCAACCCCCAGCCAGCCAGGCCGCAGACTGCACACAGTAAGCAAGCCCAGCCAGGCTCACCCAGGCCCAAAGACCCAACCAAGCTTAGCCAACCCACAGAACTGGAAGCTAAATAAATGGTGGTGGTTTTAAGCCACTAAGTTTTAGGCTGGCTTGTTACACAGCAAGAGACACAAGAAGGTTCCAGCACATCACATTCAAATTGCTCTTGTGATCACAGGCAGAGAGAGAGACATGAATTTGTCCTTCTTCTGGTATTTGAGTTAAATGAGGGTAGAGAACCCAGACTCTATTTCCCCTTCAACTCTTTCACTACACTGCAAATTTGTATTTTAAAGAACTTTCTTACAAGATCAATGATAGATAGATCATCAAAGCAAGGCATTTTTCTGTCCCAACTCTGTGGAGGGTTTCACCAGTAAGAGACAAGATAACCAACTTTTGACACCAGTACACACCACAGAGATGAGGAATAAGTCAAATCATTATTTGACAAAGAGCCTGTTCAAGCAAGCCAAGAAAAAAACCTTTTATGGCCAAATATAAGTGTAATCATCTCTTTATCACATCCCTCCAGCAGGTTTTCATTCCTGTCTTCATTTCATTCTGCTTGTTTGTCACTACAGTTCTATGATCCACAGACACAGACCAGTATTTGCTATACAGAACCTATCATTTCATTGTCTTTGGATCAATATAGAATGGGAAGGGATCAGTGGGGGAAAGAATACTACCTTTTTTCCTGAAAGTAGATTCTTTTGTATTTATTTAGCACCTTTTATTCAAGGAGCTCAAGATACTTTAGCATTCACTGTCGCCTCCCTTTATTACCTCTGGGTAGGAAAAGTGTCAAAAATTATCATTAGTGCCTTTTTATAGAAAGAAGAAAACACAGAAAGGTAAAAGTCATATCAGTGAGATGATGACAGTCACGGTAGAAACTGGGGTCTTCAGCTCAGCATTCTACTGTGGAACTATACTTTGTCTCTTTAATAGATCCCACACCAAAAGGTATAAATGGCTTCCTCCATTTTCATATTATCTCTCTTTGGATGGATGTTAACTAAAAGGGCAGAACTGACAGTAAATCCCCATAAACATATCATCCTGGCAATGCAGTCATTTCCTGCAGTTTTTTACGTCAGCTAAGGAGTCCCATAAATTACAGAGGCACCCTCTGCTTCTCCATTAAAGATCACAATCGACCACATCAAAGAACAGCATTTTCAAGAGGTGTGCACCCAGCAGGGATAAACCAGTGAACAGCGGTCACTCCCTTCAGCTGGGCATTTGTGGCCAGTAAAGTCTGGTCCATGACCACTATTAGCACACTTAAAACCTGCCAGATCTGCTAAATTGACCTTAATGTGCTTAGGCATTTTAACTTTTCGCTAGTATTGAGGAGAACATATACCCACAGGCTACAACAGATGGAACAGCCCAGGTAATTCCTTTCAGTCTGACTCACACTGTCTGTTTCCTTACAACAGGGCTGACGCTCAGAGGAAAGCGTCTCTGTGATGTTTTCTTAAATTCACAATTTGGGGATTAGGTTTTTGATTTAAATGCTTTGGAAAATAGCAGGGATGTTTTCCACTTCTACAAGGTGGGGTGGCAGAAGCACAATTATTTAGGTAAGCAATAGGGCCTATTGCCTAAACACATGTGTGACATCCTTCTCTAGAAAGAGAAAATGCAATTAATATTTCATCTTTATTATTTCTTTCTGGAACTTTCCTAGCAGTTTTTTTCCCCACTATGTGTTCAGGCTATCCCTGTATCCTATTCATGTTCCACACCTTTTTGAGAGAGAGCGACCTCAGGAATAAGAATGTCAAGTATAGCACGGAGAAGACAAGTAATGACTCTAATAGCATCTTACTATGCTGACGGACAGTGACTGCGATGGGGTGTGGGGGTGGCTTGATAATATGGATGAATGTTAAACCCACATTGTTGCTCATGTGAAACCTTCCTAAATTGTCTATCAGTGATACCTTCATTAAAAAAATAAGTTTAAGAAAAAAAACAACAAGAATGCCAAGCTGCAGCAACGTTTGATTTTTTAGAGATTTCCTTGCCACGTACCCGATTGCCTCTGCTAGAATGGGTAAATAACTCACCCTGGGGGTGAACATCTGGGATGGTGTAAAGAGGGACCGCAGGCTGCAACTGAGCTCTGCCTAAGGATTGACAGAAAGTTATAAACTTTGAGGGGGAAACTTGGTTTTCCCTTTTTCCTTCGCTTAGAAAAATGGGAGCACAGAGAGATTTTCAAGAACTAAAAGTCCCTGCATTTCTTCCCTGAGCCTCCCTCCAGGCTTCACAGTTCCAGCCTTTTTCCAAAAGTACTTGATACAGACATCCCCACCGCCCGGCCCAACAAAAGCCGTCTCCAAAACATAGACATCTACTTGTAAGAAGGGGTGCAAAAGAAACTATGTGAAGAAGACCAGCATCCTTAGCGGAATTTTCAAGAAACTCCTTACATAGTAAAAAAATTAAGGGGGACGGGGGGAGGAGTATCAAAAAAGTGTTCTGAGATAAAGTGAAATACAAATATAGAGGAATAAAAATAGACCCAAAGAGAACAGGACAGTCCTAAGGACGGCTGCCGTGGAGGCCAGACTACTGGGGAAATGCTAACGGGGGGCGGCGGGCCCCAAAAGGAGGTAAGAAGGGCGAGCAAAGGGCGCCCCGTGAGCCCGTGGCCCCGGCCGTACGTGGCTGCGGCTCGGGCCGCGGTAACAGAGGGCCGTGTTCGGAAGCCCGCGGCCCGACCTCGGGCGCCGGGCGGCGGGGCGCAGGGGCCGCGGGGGCTCAGCGCGGAGGCCCGGCCTGGCCCTGCTCCTGCACCGGCCGCGACGCCTTGTCGGGCTCCGCGCCGCCCGCGCCCGGGAAGCGCGGCCCGAGGCCCGCGAACGCGTCGCAGCACGGCGGGCTCTCCTCCTGCACCGGGCGGCCCACCGGCTCCCCCGCGCCGCCGCCCGGCCCCGCCGCGCCCTCCTGCGAGTTCTGGCTGACGTACACCACGATGATGTCGCCCTTGAAATTCATCACCTGCCCGCTGGAGATGAACGTGGAGTTGCTGTTCCCCGTCACGGTTCCTGCAAGGGGAGGGGAAGAGAGAGGCGCAGGCGGTGAGTCGGGTGCGCGGCGAGGGCCCTCCCGGGGGGCCCGGGCCGCGGGGACCGGGCGCTCGCTCCGCAATTACTGACCAAGGGCGGATCCGAGGGCTTACGCTGTAGCCACAGCAGGAGTGCGCTAGTAACACAGGAGAAGTCCTCCTGGTTGGGGGATCACTAGTTCATAGAAAAAAGTCCAAGTGAGACATCAAAAATAGTCAAAAATTGTGTGTGTGTGTGTGTGTGTGTGTATCTCATAAACATTCTGTCCTAATTTAAAATATACCATGTTTATTTAATAAAAGCAGCAATTTTACGTCGCTTAAAAGTATGATTTTTCTCATTGTAATTCAGTTTGTTAAAACATCATTAGAACATCATGTTCTTCAATATAATGTAAAACAACACGGCATCGCTAGCCACGGTGTGACTTATGGTTTTGAATTTAATCGTACCTCTTCTTCATCCTCTTCATATTGAAATTTACTTATTTATGTCATGATATATATGATTTCTCTATCATTTAAAACTTTACTTTCCAACAAACTGACAAGTAGGAATCCACTGTTGTTTGCCTCCTTCCTTATCAGAATCTTCTGTTGACCTGAGTGAGCTCCGGTAAAAGTCTATGTGTCTATGTATTTTATTATCTTGTATGTCAAGATTTTGTTTACTTTCTCACACTAAGAATTTCATTCCATGCCAGCTGCCTCATGGCAAACAGTGTCTTTGATATATCCTATGGAATCTATATTCTTAATTTCTCTTTTTTTCTAAAATGGAACTCAAACCCTTGTGCCTAAGAAATGTATTTAAGCTTTTCAGAAACCTTTGATTCAGAGACTGAATCAAGAAGCTTATTCTTGGCAGGTGAGGGCAGAATAGGGGGGAGAAGAAAAACAAGGCCTTCAAACACCTGATGATTAGGATGTAAAGAAAAGCTACCTAGAAAGCGTGTAAGATTCTCAAACAATTTTAGACTTCATGTGGTTTTATCAAAGATACAATTAATGACAAAACCCACCTTTGATCAAGTCCAAGCCCACTCCATGCACACTGGCTTTTATGAGCACAGTAAACTGGGGCAGACTAAACTTCCTTAAAAAGCTCCACTGGTTTGCCAATGACAGTACGTGGCCACGGAGCCGTCTTCATGGACACGACCCACACTCACTCAGGGCCCTGTGCTCAGAAGGGCCCTGTGCTTGTTTAAATGCCGTAATGTGATCCTCTTGAAATTCTTACTAATTTTTGCTCATGGGGACCTCGTATTTTCATTTTTCAGTGGCCTCTGGAAATGACGTAGGTGATCCTGAGTGGCAGGTGTCTCTTAGGAGTATTGCTTTGGGCCTCCCACCCCAACTCTGTGATGCTCTGAGTTAGTCTCTTTTTGGAGGTAACATCTTATAAACTGTTTGAATTTTGCAGATGTGCTTGCCAATCTAATTTTCTCTACTGATCAAGAATTAAATGTTCAGTAAGACACTGAATTGCAAAGGCCATTCACTGACGCTCTTAAAATACAGGTCCTATCATGTGTTTCCCTGATGTTCAAGCCACCTGTCACTTGCTATAAAATGTTCAACACCAACTTTCCAATGCAGAATTGAGGCTTGTCCTTTGGCAAAAGGTCTCTTGATTGTATCAGTTAAACCTTTACTGCTTTCCCTTAAATCTCTAGTTTTGGTTTCATTAAAGCGGAATAAGAACTAAGTCCTAAGGACGGCTGCCGTGGAGGCCAGACTACTGGGGAAATGCTAACGGGGGGCGGCGGGCCCCAAAAGGAGGTAAGAAGGGCGAGCAAAGGGCGCCCCGTGAGCCCGTGGCCCCGGCCGTACGTGGCTGCGGCTCGGGCCGCGGTAACAGAGGGCCGTGTTCGGAAGCCCGCGGCCCGACCTCGGGCGCCGGGCGGCGGGGCGCAGGGGCCGCGGGGGCTCAGCGCGGAGGCCCGGCCTGGCCCTGCTCCTGCACCGGCCGCGACGCCTTGTCGGGCTCCGCGCCGCCCGCGCCCGGGAAGCGCGGCCCGAGGCCCGCGAACGCGTCGCAGCACGGCGGGCTCTCCTCCTGCACCGGGCGGCCCACCGGCTCCCCCGCGCCGCCGCCCGGCCCCGCCGCGCCCTCCTGCGAGTTCTGGCTGACGTACACCACGATGATGTCGCCCTTGAAATTCATCACCTGCCCGCTGGAGATGAACGTGGAGTTGCTGTTCCCCGTCACGGTTCCTGCAAGGGGAGGGGAAGAGAGAGGCGCAGGCGGTGAGTCGGGTGCGCGGCGAGGGCCCTCCCGGGGGGCCCGGGCCGCGGGGACCGGGCGCTCGCTCCGCAATTACTGACCAAGGGCGGATCCGAGGGCTTACGCTGTAGCCACAGCAGGAGTGCGCTAGTAACACAGGAGAAGTCCTCCTGGTTGGGGGATCACTAGTTCATAGAAAAAAGTCCAAGTGAGACATCAAAAATAGTCAAAAATTGTGTGTGTGTGTGTGTGTGTGTGTGTGTGTATCTCATAAACATTCTGTCCTAATTTAAAATATACCATGTTTATTTAATAAAAGCAGCGATTTTACGTCGCTTAAAAGTATGATTTTTCTCATTGTAATTCAGTTTGTTAAAACATCATTAGAACATCATGTTCTTCAATATAATGTAAAACAACACGGCATCGCTAGCCACGGTGTGACTTATGGTTTTGAATTTAATCGTACCTCTTCTTCATCCTCTTCATATTGAAATTTACTTATTTATGTCATGATATATATGATTTCTCTATCATTTAAAACTTTACTTTCCAACAAACTAACAAGTAGGAATCCACTGTTGTTTGCCTCCTTCCTTATCGGAATCTTCTGTTGACCTGAGTGAGCTCCGGTAAAAGTCTATGTGTCTATGTATTTTATTATCTTGTATGTCAAGATTTTGTTTACTTTCTCACACTAAGAATTTCATTCCATGCCAGCCGCCTCATGGCAAACAGTGTCTTTGATATATCCTATGGAATCTATATTCTTAATTTCTCTTTTTTTCTAAAATGGAACTCAAACCCTTGTGCCTAAGAAATGTATTTAAGCTTTTCAGAAACCTTTGATTCAGAGACTGAATCAAGAAGCTTATTCTTGGCAGGTGAGGGCAGAATAGGGGGGAGAAGAAAAACAAGGCCTTCAAACACCTGATGATTAGGATGTAAAGAAAAGCTACCTAGAAAGCGTGTAAGATTCTCAAACAATTTTAGACTTCATGTGGTTTTATCAAAGATACAATTAATGACAAAACCCACCTTTGATCAAGTCCAAGCCCACTCCATGCACACTGGCTTTTATGAGCACAGTAAACTGGGGCAGACTAAACTTCCTTAAAAAGCTCCACTGGTTTGCCAATGACAGTACGTGGCCACGGAGCCGTCTTCATGGACACGACCCACACTCACTCAGGGCCCTGTGCTCAGAAGGGCCCTGTGCTTGTTTAAATGCTGTGCTGTGATCCTCTTGAAATTCTTACTAATTTTTGCTCATGGGGACCTCGTATTTTCATTTTTCAGTGGCCTCTGGAAATGACGTAGGTGATCCTGAGTGGCAGGTGTCTCTTAGGAGTATTGCTTTGGGCCTCCCACCCCAACTCTGTGATGCTCTGAGTTAGTCTCTTTTTGGAGGTAACATCTTATAAACTGTTTGAATTTTGCAGATGTGCTTGCCAATCTAATTTTCTCTACTGATCAAGAATTAAATGTTCAGTAAGACACTGAATTGCAAAGGCCATTCACTGACGGTCTTAAAATACAGGTCCTATCATGTGTTTCCCTGATGTTCAAGCCACCTGTCACTTGCTATAAAATGTTCAACACCAACTTTCCAATGCAGAATTGAGGCTTGTCCTTTGGCAAAAGGTCTCTTGATTGTATCAGTTAAACCTTTACTGCTTTCCCTTAAATCTCTAGTTTTGGTTTCATTAAAGCGGAATAAGAACTAAGTCACCTGCCAAGCAGTCTAAGTGCAGAATCCTCTCTCTCTCTTTCATGGTTGCCTCAATTTTAATAGCAAAAAACTTAGAGCCACTCATTCTTTGGGTTGTCTCATAGCAATGATCACTTTTTTTTAACAGTGAATGAAACAGTTAAAGCTGTAAATTACCATAGGATTGGCTCACATTCACAGGACTGGGAATACCCATGGATCTTTGTAAGCATGGCTATTCTGGTGTGAGCAGAAGGGCCTGGGTACTCTAGATGACCCATTAGTTGTGAGTTATCAGTGTGCTACGGGCTTCAGTCAGCTTACTTTAGAGGGAAAGGGAATGTGGACTAATCTATGGTTAAGCAGAGATAAATGAAGAGACCACCCATTACAGTAAGAATGGTAACAGAACCAACACCCCAAATCCAGAACTTACTGACTGTTCCCTTCACTCCAGGCTGGCTGCACTGCAAAACAAACACCAGCTCACGGTTACTCTGCACGTGAGCACGCAGGCTTGTCATCATGCAGACCCACCTGCAACTAATCTAATAACATCAATGTCATCCTGGTGTTTGGGTCTCTGAAGAGCAGAAGGTGCATAACTGGTGGCCAAGGGATGGTGGTTTCTGTGGCCACCTGAGTGCAGGAGGGTAGGAAATGGTGTGGGGCAGAGGAGAGAGGAGGGTTCTGAGAGCTCTGGGCCTGGCCTGGCTCAGCCCCTACTAGCTGAGGAAGTTGGGACAAACCACGTAACAGCTCCCCAGATCTCAGTCTGCTCATTTATGAAATGAGCATCTATTTGCAAGCCTTGGTAGGCTAGTGGGGGGCAGACACACTGAGAAGCATATGATAAATGTTAATGAATGATGAACACCTGGCATAAGGGTCAAATGAGATGATGTTTGAAAACGCTTGGGAAACAGCAAAGAATTAGTCGCAAGTGCACTGATGGCATTACCACTTCAGGAAGATAGTGTGAGTGCTCGTGGAACTCCCAAGGAAACAGATCTGTAAAACATACTGAGCAGTAACGTTATTTTTGCAGCCCTGTCTTGTTGGAGGATCTCAATGTGTCTTGAAAACTGAAAGGGTGCTTTCCTCCAGAAATCTAACCAACTGTGTCTACTTTGCTGTGATCCCTCAGCATGACTGTCTCTGGCTTGAACACTCATATATATAATTCTACAGTAAATTCACTGTCTACAAGTCAGCTGTAGTCTGAATGTAGGAGAAAAGTAAGATCAAGGTTTAGAATGAATTGGTAATATCCTTATTTGGTAACACACCTCAGTCCCAAACTGTCCTTGCTTAAAAGCAATAATTCCTTAAAATTTGCTTCCTACCTTTCAGAACAGAAAGGTCTTACAGGGCTATGAAGCCAACATGACAAGGCAATGCTCTGGGATGGCGAATCAACAGGTCACCACATCAGCAAGCTGCAAGGCCAGGTGAGTGCTGCGGGCCTCCCTCTCCGCCTGGTTGCCCAGGTTTCTGCAGCTGATACATGCCCAGAAGGGGTAACCATTGCTTGCCAAGGAAGCCCAGGATGTTCTGCTGTTTGGGGCCCCTCCCTTGTTGGAGGCTGGCAAGGGGGATGTGAAAAGGGAAGGATGATGTGGACAAAGCTTATCGGAGATGCTTTACAAAGGCCTGAGGCTTGCATGCAGCCCATAGAGCCTGGAGGAATAGAAGCAGAGCAGGGGCCCATCACGCCCTCTTCCTGACTCTCCTCAGCTGCCTTTCTGACCGCTAGCCCTGCAAAGCTGCCCCTGACATTTATTGTAACTTTATTTCACTTGCAAAAAAAGATGGGGTTGGAGGCCTGTGAAAGAAAGCTTTCCTCACAGAGGAATCGGTGATAATGAAAGTAGTAAATTCCAGAAACAACTGGCAGGAGATAAGGGCTCAGGTCAAGGGAGTTGTCACCTGCTGCACAGACCCTAGCATCCCTTCTGGAACCTTCTGGGCCTGGCCTGGCCACTACCCCTCACTCCGCCAGAGCAGGCACTCTCCCAGGCCTGTGTTTGCCCTTATTCTACAGCAACTGAAGATTCTCCAACACTCGGTGACCAGAAGGAATCAACATCAGCAGCACTGATTAAGGGGAGCGCTGCAGGCTTCAGAGTCCTGTCGCATGTCGATGCAGTCTTATCATCTGAACCCAGGTGACTGATAGAATTGTATTTGAAGGCTCATACCCAAAACTATGATTTGAGAGCCTGAATGACATCAACATTTTTATGAGACAAGAAACTAGAAGTTTCGAAGAGTTCCTAACATTTAAAAGGGTTATTTGGTTTAACATTAATATGCAATATGACTTAACTAGTTACTTTCTTAGGTAACTTGAAAGAGTAAAAAAATAGCTATTATTTCAACAGAAATTCATTAAGAATTGTGGGCCCTGTAAATAAACTGCTCTTTCCGGCTCAGAAGTGACTGAACCAATGATGTGATTTCAACAGAAACAATTAGCAAACCAAATGTCCATCATGACCAGAAAGTGTCTATATTTTGCTAAGTCCATGCTTCACATAGCAGGCTCCGAGAATAAGCTTTGCTATAAGAACCCAATCCCTGAGAGAATTTACATTTTTAAACAAGGTAATGCAAACTCCTCGTCTCAAAAGCTTATTATGTTGCTTAAAATGCATAGCATATGAATATTAAATCACAAGAACTATTGCAAATAATACCACCCAATTGTCATGTAGATTTTTCTTCCAAGAAACAGAACTAACACACAAATACACTCAAACTACCCAGGCTGTGGTGGGTTCTTTTGGAATTCAAAAAAAAAAAACAAACTTAATTTATATTTAACCCATATGCTTCTCATGTGACTTTCCTTTTCATGGAAATGCAATCTCTGTTGTAGGCATTTAGAAGAAACTGGGTATATGATGATAAGGGAAGGGAAGCAGGATTTAATAGTTCTTAGTGAATCATGCTTGAAAATTACTTAGAATGGTTTACAAATAAAACCCTTCCAAAACGAGCCCTATTAGAACAGACAGAAGGCAAGCAGGGCTAAATTAAATAAAGTATATGCTAAATACATTTTTCATATATTTTGAAATAATGTGTTGATTGTGAGCACCAACAAAAATCATTACGAAATAACCCTATAATTAAACATCCTTTGTAAGTTACAGAGCAATGAGCTAATACTTGCCCTTAAAATATTTATATGGAAAAGTGAAATACAGGTTAGTGGATGGCATTCCAACAGGAGAGAGAAGAAAGTTAGAACCAGGGGACTGTCCCTTGCTTGGGGGAAGTGGAGGGACAGGGAAGAACACTGGAGTAGGAAAACCTCAAGCCGTCCTTTCGGGATGGAAATGAAGGTCAGGAATCATCATTAAAAGAGGGTGGGCCCAGGGGTGGGAGCACTGTGCATCAGGCAGGTGCCTCTCCTGCCCCCCAAGTATGTTTGGCATCACCTTGTGCCCTTTGGATGAACCAGCTCATCTTGGCCTCTCCAACCCCAGACATCCCAGTCTGCCCAGGCGTTCGTCCTTCTGTCCGTGCATGGCCTCCAGCTCCCAGTACAGGCTGAAGTGGGAGGCTGAGAGTGAGTTAGGTCTCTCATTCCTCTAGTTACTCATGACTGCATGAAAGAATGAATGAGCTTATAAACATCGGTTCACTTAACAAGCTGGGACTGAGAGACTTGTCAGACTGTGTCATATGAGTCATAAATTCAGGTGTGTCATAAATTCCCACTGATTGGATGTGGCTGCCCAGAGGTGGGCTGTCGATCAAGGCGTGAGTGTGCCAGGCTTAGTGGGAAAGACTCCAAGACAAGGAAGGGCTGCAGGGCGAAGAGGAGGGGCGCACAGGCAGCGTGTCTGCCACCCCTGGTCTAGGAAGCAGCATCTGAGCTGGGACTTGAAGGACCCGAGGAATTGCGCACCCTGGAAAAGGGACATCACGGGTGGGTGGTTCACAGGAGGAGAAGCACATTACAGGGCAGAGCAGGATAGTGAGAGGTGTTCCCCCTAAAGGTACTGGCTTTGGCTGAAACGGGCGCGTGAGCGGGTGAAGGGGAGCAGCAGATTGGAAGGGGGACCAGCCTGGAAGGCCTTGCTTTCTCAAAGTATTGATTCTTTTTGAGTTATCCATTCCCTGACCTCAATCCCTACTGGTTTTCCAAGTCTCTGTGGCTCAATGGACCTTAAAGATGTGACAGAAAAACAAGTGTGGAGCTGGTGTTCATTAAGAATTGTGAGTCCTGTAAACGAACTGCTCTCTCCAGCTCAGAAGTGACTGAACCAATTATGCGATTTCAGGAGCTAAAAGCAAGTCACTGGTCAACTATAGACACATCAATTACATTGTTCTTTCTTTCCCATGAAATAATTTTCTAGACACAGTGAGAATTCTCCAGACTCCAGGTGAAAGGGCTTGTAACCAAGGTAACCACATTCATATCATGAGGATAATGATTTAAGATAAATTAAGAAGTGGTAATGTAAGACTTAAACCCTTAAAGGTGTTTGCTAATAATTCTCATTCTTCTTTAAGGTTTATAACATTGCTAAAATAGCCTTAACATTGGGTAATATTTGTAAAAGATACACTACTGGAGATCTTTCAAGAACCATCAGTCTCTTCAAAAGGGTGCTGGGTCCACAGGAGATACTCTTCCCTACTGAGGAATATCCAATCCAGAGCCCACTAGATTTGGTTGCAAGTTTAAAAAAAAAGATACCCACATATATAAATCCAAAAACCTAATGTAAAAGGGCACATCCCTCAAGTCCTGAGAGCACAGGGTTTTTAAGAGATCAAACAGGATTGGGACCCCCTCTTATCTTTGTTCCATCCTCCTTCACACATTTTGTAGAACATAAATTATGACAATTAAAAAAGAAAAGCAAAAATGAGAAAGTGCTATTTGAACCGGAACCCAGAAGGCCCATTCATGAGAAGTAAGTATGGGCAGAATAGCTCAGCCTCAAGTACCAATCTGACTGCTGCTTCTCCTCAGGCGAGAATGAATTTGGCCCACTTGCTAGCGACCGCAGGCAGGCAGTCTGCCGACGTTTTGCATGGCTAAGCACCAGATGGAGAGAGAAAAAGCAGCGTAAACTTTCTGCAAATTAACACCACTTAGTTGGTGGCACACTTTTTTTCTTTCCCCCATGCCTAGATGTTGGAGCGCTGGAGAAATAAAAAATAATGGAAAACAGAGGGCCCTGTTTTAACTCTTTCCAGGAGAACAAAGCTCTGGCTTTTGGTTGCATGAACCTAAGAAACAACATCTCTTTAAATATGGCCAACTCTGTTCTTCTGAGAATTGCTGATGATTCCACACAGTGGCAACTGTCATCTTCCTGGTGTCATCGGATGAAAAACTCGTCTGCTGCTGGCGGTGTTCCAAGACACGGCCACTGCTACCTGGGGCTTAGCCGCCCTCCAGCCCCCAAAATAGTGTTCTGTATTGTCTCTGTGCCCAATGGGAAGAAAATGAACCACTGAGAAAAAATTAGAACTCAATGCCATAAACAGTAGAGCCAAACTTTTGTCATGGAATTTCCTCCAAATCTTAAAAAAATACTGAGGTCTTCTAAAGGAAAAACACATAGCTCTTTGAAAAATATCCCCAAATCTATCTCCTTTTTTCAGTTTGGGCATGGATAGAGAATTTATACATCACTGAATCCGTGTAGTTGTAGCAAAACCACAAAGCTTGGAAAACAGATTAAAGTACGTTGTGCGGTCAAGTAAGCCAGAAGCCATCATTAGCACAAGACAGTCTGTGTTTAGGATGGGGCCTTAGCTCTCTCAGGCTTATAAAGTAACTCAAAGACTAGCTGTGAGTACCCCTTGCAATCTAAAGAAAGAGGCAGGGATAAAAGAAAATGCATCCTGGCATAAAGGTGGCTCACAGATGGGTTTTGGGTTTTTTGTTTTTAGTATGGATGGATTCTGTGAAGCCCCTTAAATAGCATATATCCATATATTCATTTTTCTGGAGAGACTGCCTATAGCTTTCTGAAGATTCTCAGAGATCCCTGATCCCTTATATGGTAAATAATCCCCAGAGCCAGAGGAAGCCCTCACCATCAGCGGCAAGGTTCCTTGTAACTACATAAGAAAACATATGGTGTGTTCCCCTCGTGAAAAAAGTTATAATATTATACTTTGTGGAGTATTCAGCTCAAGCAGTGGTGCAGTGATAAATCTCTATAATGCCTTTAAATTGAAAACTGATTTTATCTTCCTGGTTCCATAAATATATTCTATGCTGTTGTTATAAAAGGGGCTTCTCATAAGAAGCATTCAGGGGTGGTTTTCCTGCATCATTAATTTGGTGTAGAACAAACAGGCTACTCTTAATAAATATTAATTAATTAAGGATCAACTGAACAGTTTTGTCCTCCTGAAATTTATAACAGCTTGTTGGGGAGAGATCTGAGGCATAGGTTGCTTTAAAAACAAAACAAAGCCCAGAAATCTGAGGGAATGACTTGATTTTCGCCAGTTCAGAGGTCACTGTTGACACTATATTTGGAGGGTCAATGCAGGGGATTGAGGTCTAATCCCATCACAAGTAGCCTGAATGCAAAAGGGCACGGGGCACCCAAAAACAAAGAGACAGCTCCAGGGCTAGAAGATAAAGTCACAGGGCAGTGGGCACAACACGTGGACCGAATCAAAACCCATCCTGTAAAGAAGCTTATCGAGAGGAAATGCTCAAGCTGAATTTTTCCCATGTTAGCGTCCCTCTTCCCTAAATGTTCTGTGACACCTGCCCCCAAACAGAACAAAGAACAGGCCTGTTTGTTCAGAAGGGAGAGACTAGGAGAATCACTTACCAGATGCAGGTGGCTGGTCACTGGAGGGGCTTCCAGGCCCAGGGCCTCCCCTCCTTGAGCTGGGCTGCCTTCCATCGGCCCTGTCCTCCGGCTGGCCTCCCCATTCTGCCCTCTTAGCTGCTTCTTCCGGTGGAAGGCCCATGCCATAGGCACACTGGGGCAAGTGTCCCCTTGCCGGGGAACCCGTGAGGGGCCCCGGGTCCTCCCCAGGAGGGTCCCCACAGCCTGTACAGCCACAGAAGCTGGCCGCTCCATGGGGGCAACCGCCACCCTCCACTGCTTGCTGTAAGTACTTTTCAGAGGACGTGGGAATCCACTCAGTCCTGCATGGGGGCTCGGCGAAGCTGCAGCTGTCAGAATCCCCCATGCTCTCTGTCCCAGTGAAGCACTGGCTTAAACTGTCATTCTCCCCCACCTCCAGGGGCTCAGGGAAAGGGGGAGTGCATTTGCTTCCAGGCTGAGTGAGGAACAGTAAAGAGTCTGGGGTCTGGGGGGGCCTGTCCACATATTCGTCTTCCATGGGAACAGGCCTGAAGGGGTCCCCCTCAGTCTCGCTGACCAAAGTGAACATCCTGGCATCTTCTGCTAGTGCGCAGGGACCATCGCCTGCACATGCGCCCCCGCAGACACCACCACCACCATCTGGACAGCACATATCTTCAGAAAACATCTTCTCTTCCAGTGTCAGCAGTAAGACACCTTCACAAATTTCACGCTGACTAGAAGCTTCCATATGAATGCTTCTAAAATTACTGCCTGAGGACTCCTGCTGATTTAAATTCAGAAGATACAAGCATTAATACCCAAAATTATTAGAACATGATTCTGCTAAACACGGCTGAAAGTGGTGTTTATAGTAATTATTTCCACCATAACAAGTGCAGATGGAACACTCACTGTGACACTTTATTTGTGTTATTTAAAATTATAGAGTGGGGAAGAACCCTAAAAAAAAGCATACAACCAGAATGAAGTAACTGCATTTCAAATGAATAGCATGTTCACGGAAGCTGGGGGAAGAGCTAGCCCAAATAACTTTAGAACACAGTTTTTTGTCTATGCACTCTATCTAAATTTAAAAAAAAACTGTAAGCAGGTATTGAATTCTAGTTAGTGGCTTTGGCTTTTGCTGTAGAATGGTTTAGTAATTCTGAAACTGCTCTCTGGTGTATTCTGGAATTGAGCAAATGAGAAAATATATTGAGAACAACAGGAGCCAGGTTTCATACTGTTGGACAAGGGAAGATTCACAGATCAAGGAAAGACTGAACTAAGCCCTGTGGTGTTGGAACTGGAAGTGGAGAGGTCAGTAGGAGCTCGTGGTTTAAAATTATAAATCTTTAAGCAGGAGGAAATATATGTGAAGGACATAATGGGATAATTTATGAAATTTCAATAACAAATGTGGGTTGGATGAAAGTATTGCACCACTACTAAATTTCTTGACTTTTATCAATGTACTTGGTTATATAGGAGAATGTCCTTGTTCTTAAGAGAGTCACACTGAAGTATTTTAGGGTGTAGGAGCGCACTGCCTGCCACGTTCTAGAATGGTTCAAGAAAAAATACATATACACTTATGCCCGCAAACAGGGAGCAAATAAAGTAATATAATAAAGTATACACAGTCGGTGGACACAAGTGTAGGACATATAGAAGTTTTTTGCAGTATTCTCACTGTTTTTCTATAGTTTCAAAATTCCATCAAAATTAAAAGTCGCCAAATTACAGAGTAATAACCACCGAGTAAAGGGAAGTGGCCGCTCTGTCCTTCTAGGCATCTGCACAACACAATCAACGTTGGCTCTAAAATAATAATACAAATAACATGTGCACAGAGATGGCAGAAATGGAAGGAAATGCAAAGGAAACAGCATGTAGGATGAGCACTGGCTCAGGCGTGAGCTTATTCTGTAGGGACCTGCCCTGGAATTTGAGATTTCATCTCTCAAAGGAAGTACCCCTTTCACAGTGGGGCTGAAAATCTGACTGATTGTTATCTACATTCAGCCTAACTGTTCAAAGTACTTAAAAGCGGCGCTTAAGACTTTTAAATTTACCTTATTTCCACTTAGGCGGCCACAAGCCTCATTGACCCAGTGCCACAAATTAGCTGGAAAAAACAAAGTAAGGAAAGGACTTGTATTATTATTCCCTATTTCTAATATGGTATTATTGACGGCTTTTGTCAGTTCTGTATTATCTTTAAACATAATCCCCTGTAAGACTTTCAGTGAGAGTTCCTGAGAGTGAAAACATTCAAAAGGAAATCAACCAGCTCAAAGACTAAAGGCATCTCACTCCTCCTACCCAAAACAGGACTTTCTGATCTATGTAAAGCAACGAATGACCCACGAATGGTCCATCAAATACGTCTGTCACATTTGAGAGCTGTCAGAGCTGCTGTTGGGACAGTAGACATCCCACTCCTTAGCAATTTTTCCTTCACTGTGAAGGACCAGCCTAAAAGTTGTAGGGAAATGAAAAGAGATGTGGGTCTAGGAGACTGACTTTCCCATAAGCTAGCTCAACTATCTGTACAACAACAGTAAAGTACATGCTGGAAGGCAGTGCCGGACCCCACGGACTTCCCACAGGCCCCAAATCCTTTCCACTAGCCCCTGCGGCTTCCCCGAGGAAGGAAGAATATGCTCTGTGGCACATACAAAGCACCTCTCCATTAACATTCTAAAATAGAAGAGATGAAACTTAAAAAGTCAAATCTGAATTTTTAAAAGACCTATTAATTTACATTCTATAAAGATAAAATTTTTACCCCCCACCATTAAATATTTGATGTTGAATTCATTTTAAACGTCAGGAGGTTGTCCATTTGCCACTGGAAGATAAATAGGTCAGAAAAATAGCTAATGACATCTATTACATGACCTTGCCCCATTCCCTTAACCTCTCCAAGCCTCAGTTTCCCATTCATAAAACAGGAGAAGTAACACTGTCTACCTCATGATGCTGCTGTACAGATTAGTTGGTGTGTGTAAAGGCATATAGCGGAGCTGGTACAGAATAAATACTCAAAATGTGTCAGTTGTTGCTATCGTTATCATTATCATTCTCAGTTCCTTTCTATACTTTTGAAATTGTATAAAAATAAGGGTGCCCCAAATAAAAGTTGCAGCTCTTCCCTTGGGATCAGAACTAGATATTCACAAATGGTACTAAAGCTTAGTATTGTACACAGAGGTGAGATATTCCTTACTACTGTGGTGATCTCTCCCCTGGGTGATTGCAAAAGCCCTCCTAGCTGGTGCATCTGCACCCCCTCTTACTGCACCCCCTGAATTTGTGCTCTACACTAAAACCAGAGGGCTGTTGTTAACTGCCTTTGCTGGGGATAAGGAGCAAACCCCTTGAGCAGGCGCAGGGCTGCATCATCTGGGCACGCTGCCCTCTCCTTTTATCTCCCACTGGTTCTGACTTTCTGCTCTCCCTGCACTGACCTTAGTTAATTCCAACTTGTCTTTCAGGTCTCAGCTGCTCTGGCTCCTCCTCTGGGAGGCCCTGGCTGACCCCAAGTTCGGATGAGTCCCTGTCACTGCTCATCTGGAGCTCTGCACCTTTGCTTTCACTTCTAAGCCTCTCTGTGGGCCTAACACCTGCCTTGCCCACGGAAGCGCTTCCTCCGCAAGGACACTCACTGTGGTTGTGCTGCTCAGTATTGAGTCCCCAGTGCCTGGTGGCCAAGCAAGTGTGTTGCATGAAGGGATGAAGAGAAAGCTAAGAATCACAAGCTCCAGCTCAGTCTAGGCAAGCCCGTTGTTCTTCTCACTGATAGGATGTGGCAGTAAGAGCATTACAGAGACAAAAACTAAGAAGCAAAGCATCAGAAGTCTGTTTATCTCATGTAAACACGACTATCTGAACATGCATTATTCAATCCCTGGCTCCCATGTTGTCAGGGAAGTGAAGTTGCATTAAATAACCATATCAATAATGAATAGATTCTTTAAGTCATTTAACATTGCTCTCATTTAACATTGGCATTTTCAAACACCATCTTCCCTCTTTAATCTTTTGATTGCCCAGGGTTACGTTAGTAATGCAATGTTAATGGAAGAAGCAAAATATGTAGGGTTTCGAGAAGTCTGTGGATGTGATGTAGGAGGGCGGATGGAATCACAGCAAAGCGGGGATGGACAAGATCAACACGTGAGCGGCTGGAAAAGGAAGAGGCTGCAGAGACAACAGATGCTTCAAAGAGAAAGATTTGGCTAACAAAGCGTCAAGAAATGTCTTCATGAAAGCTAATGAAGCCTTGAATCCTTTCTTCAAAGCGACACCTTTTTATCTTTATGGTATAAAATCAAATATGACGATGTGATGTTAAGGGACGCTATCAAAAAATTTTTTTGTGGAAAAACTATTCCCAGTAAACACTTGATTATTCATTTTAAGGATGAGCACCTAAATGTTACTGAATATAAGATAATTTATGTTTACATTTATAGAGTCATATGTCAAGGCCACCCCAGTCAAAACTTTCCATCAGCCATTTACCTGAACATTTTATCTCTGTTTTAAGTGAGAACATTAAAAATGTTGGTATTCCAGGATAAAAGCAAGCCCCTGGAGATAGGATGCTGCAAAATCTATACAACATAAACACAGAGCTTATGAGTAATTTGTTTCCTGAACCTAGAATATTTTGTTTGCTTATATATAAACAGGCACAATGACTTTTTGTTTGGCCAGAGAACCGTGAATTAAGTGTGAGGGGTGGTTCCCCTTAGGTTAAGCACAATCATCTCAAGGCATCTATGATAAGCGCATCACCAGAGGTAGTCAGTGGGCAAAATGTGCATCTTCCAAAGCACATACTAGAAATGGGTCTATTTTCTTTACAATTAATTTTCAAAACCACCATAGACGCAATACCTGTCAGCGCTTTCCCTTTTTTCCTGTAATAAACGCCAAAGATGATGGCAGCAACTAGCACCACAGATGTGAAGAGAAGCAGAATAATTAACCCAGGCAAGTAAATCAGGGGTTCTGTATTGGAAGAAAATGAGGAAAAACAGCAGTGAAGATGATTTAATTTACTCTCTAAGTTAAAAAACAAAACCCTTTATATCAAACCCCAGCATCAGAGATGGTGGAACAGGAAAGTATGAAGGTCCCCAACCCTGAGAGCAGGTTTGCCAGAGGACTCAGCCAGAAGGGTGGGCTGTCACGTAGCCGGGACCTGCTGTCTGCGTCGCTCTGTGGGAGGCCAGCCCAGGACCACCTTGAAGAGTTTCTACTTCAGAACAGCCCTCGTCACGTTTACCATGCCAGCCACTTCCATGTTTGCTTCCCTACAGAACACCTCAATCTCTCCAAGTGGAGGGCCTCTGAGGCAAAAGGAAGCCCCTTATCGTATCTCTTTCCAAATAACAACACAGCATCACGGTTTTGCTGGTCATGCGAACAGACCACAGCCATCCTGTGAAGCGTTACAGGTGCTTCATCTACAACGCAGTATGGACTCAGCCATTCTTCTCATCCCTCGGCGATCAGCTTTTTTGTTATAAACTCTCGGTTAACGTGACCTGGTTTTTGGGACTCTCGCCTTTCCTCTCCTTTTCTCCTTGTTAAGATAACTTTTCATTACCTGGGTTATTTTAAATGGTCTTTTGAAAATACTGCTGTGACTGTGTAACACCATATCATAATGCATTGATGTCCTGTGTCCCAAAATGTCACATCTAAACCCCTGATTTTCTCAAAGTTCATTAACCCCAGTATTCTGAGGCCTAGGTTCCCTTGCCTCTTTAGGAGGGTCTTCCTGCCACCTGTGCCATCTCCTGCACTGTGCCCTCTGGACGCTCCTCACACTGTCCCATGCACCTGGACAACCAGCATCCACCATTCACTTTCAGCCTTCTGTCAGCCTTTGCAACCATGCTTAATATTAATTTGATCTACGAAATGTTCCATAAATACTGGTAGCCATATTCTAACAAGTTGCCGACTCTGGTTGGGGACCGAATCTCCCACAGACACCCCAGCTGTGAGCATTACCATCCAAGCATATCTGGGCATTTAAATTCATGCTTGCAGTTCAATTACTTCTTCCTTTTTTTTTTTTTTTTGTACAAATGAATACAGTATTACTTATCCATTGCAGAACAGAAAATGATCAAGTAAACAACATGTCCGGAATTAAAATACTGATTAAAGTGAAGCACTGAGCTGGCCAAGGACAGGATGAGATGAACAGGGGAGAGATGAGCCCCTCCAGATAAGGCATGAAATTCGGGAGAAATCTACAAGAGCTGAGTAGTCTGGGCACATCTACCAACCAATGTGCTCTGTTTAAACGTACCGTTTGGTGGTTTTTCAGATGGCAGAGAAGAACTACAAACCACATCAGACTTATCAGTCCCATGATGTGCTTCTGTCTCTCCAAAAACGGTACAGCTGTGGGAGAAAGGCAGTTAAGGGCTTTAGTTTTGTATTCTTGTTTAAAAAAAAAAAGACTCGACTGTCCTAGATTGCTAGCTCTTTCAGGAGAGGAGCCCAGGTCTTCCTGGATGTTTGAAGCTCCAGTGCCTGTCTACACATCATAAAGGTGGACAAATGAATAAATGAAGGCAACCACTGCCGGTGTTCTCTAAGGACAGCTCTAGAGGATGGTGCGAAGGAGAAGAGATCAGTGTCTTCGGTAAAAAAGATTCCAAATGTTTCAGTTGCCGTGGCTAAGTGATAAACTGTTGAAGGATGTTCTTTTTAAAGTGAGAACACAGAAAATCTTTTCAACATAAAACTTGGATAAATATTTAATGAGAATTGCTACACTGGGCAACCAAAAGAATTGTTACATTTATTATTAGTATTCAATGACAAGCATGCAGTGAATGAAAGAGCACAGGGATTCCACTATGGATGCTTTCACATAAATGTGAAATAGTATTTATATTAGACGAACCATTGCAAAATTATGTATTACTGCAAAAGACTGAGAACAACCTAAGTGACTATTAAAATAGGGAACTTACTAAATTACCATACATCTCTATGATGAAATACTATATAGCAGTAAAAAGACATATTTAGATCTAAGGGAACTCATATAGAATGTGCTTTCTTCAGGATATATTATGTGAAACAAAAAACCCAAGGTGTTTACAGCATTCAAACATTTATGTGAATGGGAGGCATCTATATATCACTTACACAACACACACATCTCTGGACAAATAAACCAGTGGTGTTGGGAAGCTGAGAAAAGTGGGAGTGCTGAGTGAAGGTAATAAACATCATAAATCATTTCCACTAAGTAAAGTCAGAAAAAGGAAAAAAAAGCTGCAACTGTAAGCCAAAGAGTCAGTCAAACTGAATCTAAAAAGGAATACACAGCTCCTGTCACCCATCAGCTTGAGGACCGGTTGGACTGGTTTGATTTCCCCACGCCAAACTGACAGACGTTTTCCACGGTGAACATGGCTTCGAGAGGGAGCGTCAGCAAGCTGAACCCGTCACCAAGCTGAACCCGTCTGTTTTCAAAGCAGGCAAGCCAGTGGCGGGTGAGCTGCCTAAAATCAACAAACTCTCTTGACTGCTCCATTGTCACTTACTTGGTCCAGGGTTTGCATTTTTCTGTGGAAGAAAAGGCTTCTGAGAAGTAGCCGGCAGGGCAGGGCTCACACACCGTGTCTTTGTTGAGCTGCACTGTCGAAAAAACAAACGGAAAACAAGAATGAACAGAACACAGGAGGGCACAGAGACTGGCCGGGATGGTGTCCAGGGAGCCAGAGGCCACCAGCGGCCCTCAGCTTCTTGCCTCCCGCTTCTTGCCCTCCGGAGGTGGTGCTTCAATGCCCGCAGCCTTCAGAGGCTCACCACCCTGTGGGAGGTCACAGAATTGTGTTCAGAGAGGTCACTGGCTCAGTGTCAGCCCACTAATGCCAGCGTCCAAGTTAGGCCCCCTGACCCTCTGCTGGTCAGAGCCACTGTCCTGGTCACCAGTACTTTCTTTCCTAGCTGGGGAGCCTGCTGTCTGACTTGTTCCAACCAGGCACCTGTCTGCTCTCCCCTTTCTGCCTTTGGGCTTACATCAGCCTCAATCTACAGAGAATGGCAGTCCTTCTATTTCTTTTATGGGAAACTCCTTGTCCTGACCAGCTTAATCTCACCAATCTAACTATTGGAGTGGCAATAGTTATTGGCAACAAAATTTTCTCAAAATGAACAAAAAACCCTATGGATCTCTTTTTCTTAAACCAAGGGTTGGCAGCGAATGCTCTCTATAAAGGGCCATCTAGTAAATAAATACCTCAGGCTTTGAAGGCCTTCCAATCTCTGCTGCAATTACTTGTGGCATGAAAGCAGTCACAGACATTATGTTAAAAAAAAGATGGATGTGGCTGTATTCCAGTAAAACTCTAGTTACACAAACACAAGTGGTGGAATGGATTTCGGACCCCTGCCTTCAACCCTAGCACTGAAAACAGGCATTGACCCTGGTGAGTATACTTTCTTCAGCTCTCTCATATTCCTCATAAACCACGTTATCAAAATAGGAAATGTCTTAGATTTCCTATGCCTCTTACTCTTACTGCAGTGGGCACATGGTGACACTTTGGCAATGCTGATACGGAAGAACACTGGCTCTCAGAACCAGGCCACTGGCTGGAGCCAAAACCCCAAATCACTCTTGAAATTAGTAGCACTTCTGTGATTTATTTGCATGAATGAAACACTACAATAAGAAATCACATTTTCTTTGTCTGAAGTCAAGGGGGTAGTATATTCTTACTTAAGTCTTGATTTCTGCAATTGCCTCAATATGTAAGGTGTCCCTCTTAAGCAATTTGTTTTGCCTTAAAACTAATATTAACAAAAGCCTGGTTCATACATAGTCACTCACATTAATTCAAACAGCTTTTTAGAAGATAAATACACTCTAAGAGTAACCTTAAAAACAGACTTTCTAAGGAGCTGCAAGGCACACATGGCTTTAAGGGCATTACTTTCCATACACTTCACTTGACTATTTACTCTTTGTAACACTGACGCAGCAGGGGCATCCTGCAGGTTCTATACCTCCCCCTCTCACTACAAATCCTGCTCTGGTGCCAAACCTCTGAGATGCCAAAACAGTGTTGATGGCAGAGCTCTGCCTTCAGAACACCTTAGTACTGATGTAGGGCAGGGAAATGGGGCAAGCATCAGGCTATTGTAAAATGTCCTTAATCTGCAGAAAAGGCCCAGCTTCTTCTTTAACTTAACCTATAGGCTGTACTTCCTTTTCTTCCAAGCCCCTTAATTAATTAAGTAACTTTGTAACCAGGACAGGAGATAGATCTCCAAAGTGTAAATGCATCTCTGTGGATAAAGCATGCCAAGATCTGGGTCAACACAGTCACCTAAATAACACTATTCTTAAGACAAAACTTCAAAGGAATTATGAATCACCTGGATACATCATGCCTTATACTGTCCCCTACCCAAAAGGCCCTAAAAACTCTAAAGCCCAAACCCTCAAGTGTGCCTCCTCGCTGAGGTTGCCCACACTCCCTGTCTTTGAGTGCATACTTTTGCCTTAAATAAAGACTTGTCACTGCTTAACTTACTGCATTTGTCTCTGCGATGTTCCACTGGTAAGTGTCTTTGTTACTTTGCTATTTCATTCTGTTTTCCAGACTTAAGCACAAGTCTTCACTCTGTCTCTGTTCTACTCCAGGTAAATAGGGAGGGGCTGCTGAGAGCTCGGGTTTGGGGCTCCAGGTTCCCATCGCCTGGGTGACTCGGACAGGACTGAATCTGCACGGTCATGCTCTTTAGTAGCCTGCCTGAAAATCTCCTTTCTTTGCCTTTGGGAAGTTCTCAGAACACAATCTCATGGCATCCAGTGCTCGGCGGCTCCCCCCAAGTCCTGGAGTGGTAGGGGCTCAGTTCCCATGCCGAGCAGGTTCAAGAGGACACTGGACACCAGGTGACCCTGGCTTCAGGGGATGGCAAGGGTTTTGCCCTATGCTGAGCAGGAGTTCAGTGATCTTTCCTTTCCTCCCTCTGTTCCTCCTTGCTCTCTGCTGCCTGCAAGGCCGCTGCCATTCCCTGCTATTTGCTTTAATGAATTCCTCCTTTACCTACACTAATCGGACTTGTTCAAGAATTCTCTCTTGTCCAGAGTCGAAACCTTCCCGCGTACAGGCTGAAGTTTCTCCTACTGCTTCACCTGGTGCGCAGGGAGAGACCTCCCCAGACGCACCAACCCGTAACAGCACAGCTTCTGTCTTTATCTACCAAGGGCAGTGTGACAACAGAAATGGAGCATCTGGGGCCAGGTTGAGTTGTTCTGAATTTAAATACACTGCAAGGTAGGGCAGTGGTGATTTTTCATTCATCCACTTCACCCCTCCACCTGTTTTCAAAGAATGGACCATTCCCAAAAGAACTGGGCAGGCAGAACGGCCATCAGGAAAAAGGCAGCAGCCCCTTTCTTTCCTACAGGTGACAAACTTGTGGGAAGGCTGTGGGCCTTGTTCAACTTAGAATCGAAATTCAGAAGGCGGTTAGCCATCCCAGGGAGATTTATTTTAGTAATTCAAAAATCAAGTCAAACTTTTGCCAAGAGAAATCTCATCTGGTTGGGTTGATTCATTGGGTAATAAAGACTGGCTGTGCCCTTAGACTCTGTGATGGACATTTTCCTCAATATGAATTGAAATGAATAATATTGTTAACTTTCCTAATCCTGTCAAAGTGTTCTGGGTTAAAACAAGATGCCTCTAAGTGAAAGATTAGCATGTATAAATAATCATTTGTTGTATCTTGAAAAAACTGCCTTAGTATATTCTCCAGAAAATGGTAAAGTAAACAACCCTGAGAAACACCTTTCCAAGTCAAAAAAGATTTCTATTTCTTTACTTCCAACAAAACTGATGACCCACTGAATTCTTAAGTGAGAGAGATCATGAGAAACAACTTCTGATTTCACACCACTATGTGATCCTGGACATATAACTTAGAAGGTGCTGAAATAATTGAGTGAGACTCCTGTAACTGAAGGGTTTCCTTAGCCATTTAGTTATTTCTGTGCACAAGTTTCTCAGCACTTAGTGAAATAGAATTCATGTTGAATTCAATTACATTTTAGCAATAATTAATACTCAACCATGGATATATGAACTAATTGGAAAAAACTCATTATGAAGTTCATACAGCATTTACCTTTACAATTGTAGCAAAATATAATGTATTCATTTTTGACAACTTAGCAACAACTTAGTCCAGAGGAAGTGCTTTTACAACCCTGAGAACCTGGAGTCACAGGAAATTTTGTAAAATGAAGATTTCAAATAGGTATATATTTATGTGAAGGTGTATGAAAGGGTGATTAGTAAACTCCCTCCAGGCACAAAAATATGTTAGGATAAAATTCTGTGGGGAAGGTGAAATGCATACAAACCAAAGGAGGGAAAAGTAAATTCCCAACAGTAGAATTTCCAAAAATAAAATTAAGGACGATTAGTGCCATTTTAAATGGATGGCGATGTTCTCAAATCAACATGGTGTTTAGATTTCACTGAATGTTTTAAAAAGTGTTACTGCTTTAAAATTCCCTGGAAACGAAGTCCTTATCCAACCCTTGAAATTTGTAATAAAAAATGTCAGCTTCCAAGTTAAAAATATCCCAGGGGGTGCACGGCTTTCCGAAAGTCGGAGGCTTGCAAAAGTTGTAAGTAAAGGGTCTGAGACCCCCTGCATTGCCCGGACAAATGCGTTAGGAAGAACCTGTCGCGGGGTCTGTCCTGAAGCTACTCTAGCGCCACCTGGCGCCGTCCACAGCCCGCTCGGGCCCGCCTCCCTGCCCGCCTGCGGAGCGCGCACGGCGCAGGCCCCCAGCCCGTACCCGGGGGCTGGGCGCCGAAGCCCGGCGCGCACTCGGCGTTGCGGCGGCAGCAGTCGCAGTCCGCGCTCCAGTGGTAGCCGGCGGTGCAGGCGCAGCGCCGCGGGGCCGTCCGGTTGCCGGGCTCCACCGCCACCAGGGCCTTGCCTGCGGGAGAGAGACAGGGGCGAGGCAGCGGGAGGAGGCGCACACACCCCTTCCAGGCAGCCCCTTCGGCCCTGGCCCGCGATCACCCAGTCGCGGCCCGGGCTGGCTCCGGACGCATCCATCACTCAGGGCGCGGGGTGTCAGGAACTCCCCAAGTCCCTCCCACACTTACGTCCTGCGCCGCCACTCAAACACCCCAGAAGGCCTTTTAATCTCTTAATAATTAAGAGTCTCGTGTTGTTTTTTTAAGTCGAATTTCATATTAGTAGGAAGATGAAGGACTGGGGAGTTGATTGTTGACTATTCTGGCTAATACAGAACAAGCTCCAGAGCGTCTTGATTTTTAGCAAATTCAAACGTGATACGTATTCTTAATACTAATGCTAGACTGGGCCTAATAGAATCGAGTTTCTGGAAACTGGGGAATCACCTTGGAATCCTGCAGGGCCACGGGATTATTCAGTTGTGAAAACAGGAGTCATCATGGAATTAGATAAATGGACAAGGTACAGAGGTTGGGCCTGCTGACATACCTGGATTCCTCTCTACCCCGAGTACTTAAGATGACATGCTTGTTGTCTCTTCTCACCACACATAACAAAGCCATCCCCTTCTAACCCCAAATCTCCGTGCCCTTTCCCGTCTTGGTGGAACAGAGGTAAATGCTCACACACACAATCCAGCCTCCTTATTCTCCCATTCACGTTTACAATGTCACCTATCGCCTATCACTAACATTTCATTGCAACCCCCAAAGCAATACTCCTGGCACCTTTGCCATCATTATCTGATGCACAGAGAACAGCAAAAATTTTGAGCCACTGGCTCACTCAGTATGCGTGTTCCCAGCCGAGGTCAGCTGAAGGACCTCTGCCTTCTTGTTTCTGCTTTCATACTGGAAACAAGTGTCCTATCTGTGGTCTATTTAGTGTCCTGGCTTTGGCATGTTTGTGCTTTTTGTGGGTGATTTCACTGCTTAAAATGGCCTGCAAGCATAGCACTCAAATGCTGTCCAGTGTCCTAAGCCCAAGAAAGAAATGATGTATCTGATGGAGAAAATATGTGTGCTAGGTAAGCTTTGTTCGGGCATGCATTATAGTGCTGCTGGTTGTGAATTCACTGTTAATGAATCAAAATATTTATTAGGTGAAGTATCTTTAAACAGAAACACACATAAAAGAAGGCTATGTGTTGACTGGCTGACAAAAATATTGACCAGAGGCTCACAGGAGCAGGATTTGCTAATTCAGTGTTTGCAGTGACTTTATTGGACACAACTACTGTGAATAACAAGAATCAACTACATACACACATACACACCCACACACACTACAAGGCAATAACATTTCAAACAGACCTTCCATCCCTGGAGGACCCAGCTCACCTGGAATGTCCAAATGGCCCTTGTACTTTATATTTCTGAATACTTACAGGATCTTTGTGTCCCCTCGCAATTCCTACATTAAAATCCTAACCCCCAGTGTGATGGCATTAGGAGGTAGGGCCTTTGGTGCGTGATTAGGTCACAGGCTGGGGCCCTCATGAATGGATCAGTGCCCTTCTAAGAGACCCCCCCCCGCCCCGCCTGCCAGAGCGTGCTTCCAATCTCTCTGCTCTCCACTGTGTGAGGACACAGCAAGAAAGCGGATGTCTTGAAACTAAGAAGAGGGCCCTCGCCATGAACTCAACTATGCTGGTACCCTGATCTCAGACTTGTAGCCTCCAGAACCATAAGAAATAAATGTTGTCTGTAGTGTTCTTTTATGGCAGCGTGAGCAGACAGGACAGAGTTCCAAGGGAAAACCAACCAGTCAGACAGAACCCTGTTCCTTCCTCAGCGTCTCACGTTGCAGCCAGCAGCCTATTTCTCATTCCTATTCTTTTCAGACCAGAGCATGGCGAACCTGGAGACATCTCCATTCCTTTCTGTGACCACTGTCCAAGGCCCCGGTCAGTTTTGCGGGACCAAGGCCAATATGTATAAACATCTACATAATGCCTGGACATGCATGGACAATGTCACTTCCTTGGAAAATTCTAATTCCAGTATCCCACTCAAATGCAAGTGAATGTAAGCCTGTGTGGTGAGGGAAAATGTTGACATATTTTTAAATATCTTAATGCACCATGTTTTGGGCTATAATCAGTTTTGGCAGTAGACAGAATGAATCTTTATTTCCAAGAGACTGCAGTGAGTCAAAGTCATTACTAAGCAGTGGGAAAGAAAAAAGAGTTGATCAGATGCTTCTGCTCAGTGGAGTTTCCATGTAACCTTCTCTGGCCGAAATCTACCAGTTGTCTCTAATACATTAGAAAATGAGGACGCTGAAAAAAAAAAAAGAAAGAAAGAAAACCTATTTCCTAGTTCTGTCCATTGAAAAAGACCTATAAACAAGGATCAGTCCAACGTCAATAGGCCTCCTAGTGCCTGAACTGAGGTTGCTATGTCAGATGCTCCGTTGAAAGCAATCAGGAATCCTTGGAGAAATGGCTGATTCTGGGATTAGGGCAGGAAGTGTCTGAGATAAGCCTAAGCATGGGAGCTCTTAAAGACACCTGGGGTCACCTCAAAAGACTAGGGACCACCTGGAAGAGGTGAGACAATCTGAGCACCAGTAAAACCAGTAACCTGCAATAGACTGAAATACCTCGAATACCTCAAATATATCTAAATACGTGAGTCATAATATTCATACAAATCCTTTGTAGAAAGATTGGGTGATCAAATCATTATTTTGGAAAGTAGTAAATAAAGTTACAATCATTCTGCCTTTCCTGATTACACTATACTTCAGGGTAACATACAGTTGATAAGGGAAGTTTCTCTTTATAAAGCATCCCAGTTAATAAATGAAAATGGAATGACAGAATGAGAACACCACTTTTCTGAGCCCCCAAGAAAATGGATCTAGGCCATGACCATCAGTAGCTGCTAATAACACAAAAGAGAAAAACAGCTATGATATGTACAGTAACTACATCATGCCAACAGTGAAGGAGTTTCACCAGAAACAAACAAAAGCCCCACACTAAATTCTGTACTTGATCTTAGCCAAAAGACTAAGAAGCAAAACAAACCAGATTCTGATCAGCCATCTAGATCTAACAACCTTACAGGAAATACAGGAGACAGAAGAATGTGCTAGAGGATGCCAAGGGAATGCGACCAGCAAATATTAGACTGGAAACTCCACGGGACTGACAGCAAGGTTTCTTCAACAAATACACTGAATGGGGAGAAGAAACAAAGAGGGAAAGGAACCTCTAGCTGAAGACTTGAGATATCTATTTTGATCCTGATTCCTACACATAAACTATAATTTTTAAAAAATTTGAGGCAAAGAAACAAACCCATGACAGCACTGCTATATTTAAAAATATCATTCACACACTTCCCGCTGGTTGACTGACTCACCTGTATCACAAACTTTATGCAGCAAGCATTTATCTTCTTCGTTCCAAGTGTCCAAGTATTCATCAGGGCCACAGGGCAGACATACACTTTCAGAGGTTGTAGTGCATTTGGAAGACATGTACTTTCCTTAAATTAGAAGGTAGAAAATGTGCCAATCACCCAATTTGGGCAGAAATACCCAAAACACCAAAAAGCAACAAAAATGTACCAATCTACTGGATCACTTCCATGACCATGATCCCAGGAAGTCCCCCAAAGACAATACGATACATAAACGATGCCACATCTCACAGTGATGAGCTCCTCATCCCTCCCATCTGGCTAACACAGCACCTCCCGGGTTGGCTGCCCATGGTCAGAGCAGCCTGTTAGTTCTTCCAAGTAAAAAAAGATCACTGTTTCTACCCCAAACCTCTACTAAGGAAAAGAACAATGGTTTTAAAACTGATGCCTGCACAACTTGAGGGGTCCCCTGGGGGCTAAGCAAGAGGAACCTTATCTTACCCCTCCTTTCCCATCTTCAGAATCCCTCTGTCAACCTGGTAAACTTCTTTGGCCCAAGATACATGTGGGCTCGTGATGAACTTGACCAGAGAGCACTACACACACACACACACACACACAGATACAGGCACACACACATATACACAGACACACACAGATACACACAGGCACACACACACACACAGACACACACACATAGGCACACAGACACAGACACACACACACAGATACACACAGGCACATATACACACACACAGGCACACACACAGACACACACACATATACACGGACACACACAGATACACACAGGCACACACACACACACACAGATACACAGACACACACAGATACACACAGGCACACACACAGACACACACACATAGGCACACAGACACAGACACACACATACACCACACATATACACATCACTGGATCTTGCTTCTTCATACCCAAGACGTATTTGTAGCTGAAATATCTAAAGCATCTATTTATAATGTAAGTACCTTTCCTCAAAGATGCCCTCCCCACCCCAGAACAATGAACGAGTGAGGACCTGTGGACTTAGGAATCCCCTGCAGCTGCAAAAATACGTGGCCACGTTCTGGCAAAACGACTTTGGGGAAGTGGTAACCGGTCCACCTTCTGCTCCTCGGCAGGTATGTGGGGAGAAGGTATAACAGGGTTTAAGCAATTTTCAGCAGCAACAATTCCAGCATGGTTATCAAAAAATAAAATTCTGTGAAAATATACTTGTAAAAACTTATCTACATTTTGAGAGTTTGAATCACAAGGTGCTAAAACATGGTTCTGAAAACCTCTTGCTCTCTCAAGGAAGAGTGTTTTGGAAGACTGTGTTCTAGCATGAATCAAATACTTTTGATTTGCTTTCGATTTTTAAGTGATTTTATCTATTGAGAGGAAAGATTTGTCTCAAGAGTGACACACATTATTACCTGTCAGAAAAAGTCTATTCAACTTCCTTTTGCATCTGTCTGGATAGAAATCATTACTTAGAATTAAAAAATAAACAAAAGCCCCACCCACTTTTCAGTGCCCATCCAGGTTGCTCAGAAGTACAAACCTGGTTCACATCTATTACAGCATCGTCCAAAATGCTCATAATGCCTCCGACTCGTACACGGAGGGGTGATCTGAAAAGTGACCTGAAATGAAAAGTGGCATCAGGTAGAGATTATGTACAAGTTCTTTTTGGATAAAACACCAAGTGAATCACTGAACTACATGTCCAAAAAACATAAGAAAACATCATCAACTGTCCTGAAATTGCCCTATATAATATCATCCCCCCCAAAAAATATCACTTTCCTGTTCTAGTCCATTTCCTCCTAAGAATATATAGTATTAATATCTAGAAAATAAAAATGTGTTTGGGAACCAAAAAAAAAAAAAGAACATATAAAACCAACTGATAACAGCATAAAACCCATTTAAGCATTTGCAAATACTTTGGTTATGCTCATGATAATATCATAAATTACAGTCACACAGTGGACCATACGCTCAGTCAACAGTGGTCAAAAACTGTAGGAGAACATAAGGAGGCCCCTTCATGCGCATTATACCAGGGATGTCAAATTTGGTCTTACAAGCTCTCTCTGATTTTTAACAGATGTCTAATAGTGCTTACCTTTTAAAAATTTAAACATGCAGAGAATTTTAAAAAGTGGGGTAGCAGGGTGTTAAAGGAGCGGCATGGGCTTGGAGCTCTCACTTCCAGCCACCTGCTGGCTGAGGGGCCCCAGGTGAGCTGCTTCAGCTTTTTGAGCCTGTTTCCTTTCTGTTTGATCCTAATACAAATACTGATTCCCAGATCTATCCATCTAAATAAAACAAAGCGAAACAAAAAGCCAAGTCCCCTCCAATCAGTTGGAGATTCTTACCAGTTGGCCACAGAAAGAAAGCCCTTTTCCTCATCAGCTTTCTCAGTGTGAGAAAACGACAAACTCCTGTTGACAGGCAGTAATGTTAGACATCGAACTGAACAGCTGGGTTTAGCTGAACAGACATCAAATGCATACGAAGGGTCCAGTTTAATGGATCCAAAGTCACAAACCCTGCCCTTGAGAGGGCCGTGCAGACCACAGGGTGTGTGCCACCGGGCAGGCAGAGGGGCCCCTCCCTCAGCAGAGGAAGGCCCCAGAAGGTGTCCTAAGGGGCGTGATAAGTTAGCTCAGTCTTACAGGGTAAGTAGGAATCGGCCAGATAAGTATGAAGAAACTGGCAGGTGGGAGTAGGGGGAGAGACAAGAATGACATCTTTCAGGCAGTGTGCAACAGTTCCAACAGAGGCACCGAGGTCTGCATGGCAGGTGAAGCGGGCGGGGGTGGCAGTGGGGACCGTCAGCAGCATGGTGGGAAAGGAGGACAATGATGGTCAGACTCTCAGCTGACTTCATCTGCATATGAAAGGTGTAGAAATAGTATGGAATAGAAGCAGCCACGCATCCCCAGATACCTCACTTATGGAAGGAAGTTTTATAAAGACACCACCACACCCAGAAAACCCTAGACTAGCTGAGTGCGATGTGCGGATGTTGGGGATGCAACCAATACAGACCTCGCTGATCTCACCCTGGCCAGGCCAAGGGCTCTCAGGAGGGATGGGGAGCAGGGGCGGTTACTTTGAGGTGTTCCAGGGGCCAGGTGTGCCAGGAAGGCTGTATTTGGACTTGCTTTCTAGACCTGGCTAACACTCCCTGTGGATGTGGGATAATGCAAATTGGATGTTCCCCATAAATTCACCACAAGACGGGCTTAAGGACAGTGCAGTGAGCCCAGAGGAAATTAGGAAGGATGACCTAACAGAAACCACCCCACCTCTCCTTCCTACTTTTTTCTGGTTTTATAGGAATCTGTTTCTCTGCAGGCAGCTCTTGTCTGTGTCTAGTAGTAAGACACGCACATGGAAAAAAGATGAACAGAAACAAATGATAAAGCTGAGTGTAGCAATGCAGATTTCACCTAACAGAGAGGATGTGCTTCAGCCTAATGATATGTGACCCCCTCTGCAATGGTGATGACTATAGCAAACGAGAGAAATACGTGGTTGGGCCATAGTTCAGATGATAAAGGTTACCGATTGCTTCTGACCCGTAAGATATATGCAACAGTCTCTGTAAGATCAGTGCATCCTTGTGCCACAGGAAGGTTCTCTCTAGGGGAATTTGGAAAAGGAGCACTGTCAGAGGCTACGGGCCATGTCCGGGGCTCCGAATCCTGGTTCCTGTGTGCATCATCTGACCTAAGCATGTGGATCACGTATTTACATGCTTAAGATGGTGGCTGTGATTCTTTTAATCCATTTATTATATAACCCAGGAGGTTTTCACCTCCTGGGAAAAATGGGGAGGCCACTGATTCCAGAAGTGGGCAGATACCCTGGCTCTTAAAGAGATTTTCACAGATTCTTCCTTAGAGTTCATTTCTCTCTCCTAAGCTTACTATTGTTACCCCTGGACTTGTCTCTTTTTTCCAAAATTGAGATACAATCCACAATGTATAAAGTTCACCCTTTAAAAGGGTACAGTTCAGTGGTTTTTAGCACGTTCATGAGGTTGTACAACCCTCACCACTCTCTGATCCCAGAACATTGTCCTCGCCCCCAAACGGCCATGACTCCTTGTCACAGATACAGGATCACAGATCTTTGAAGCAGCAGCAGCAATTTTGCTACTGGGAAACTTTGCAATGGTGAGTGGAAGAGTATCGGTAATAATCTAATTTAAGGCACAATTTAAACCGAGTACTATTTTGTTTTTGAGTTAACATTATTTGCAAGGAATCTTCAAACCTCCAAAACGGCAATAAATACACAACTTAAAAAGCAACATCCGTACATAGATGTATTTAAGGAAATGTGATCTGGGGTAAATAAAAAGAATCTGGAAAACTCTCCTTAGGAGGCACGCACATGCAGGAGAAGGCCAGACATGACTTTATTGTCCATTTTCCTCTTCTGTCCCAGTTTTCTGCTACCAACCTTCTTTTCCTCCACCTGCAGCTGCAGCTCTAGGATGAGCCCTGTGTGGGAGGCCCTGCAGCTCCCGAGGCTTTGCACAGCCTGCAAGGCCTGCCTTGTGCCGTCTCACTCTGATTCCATTCTCCACTCTCAGGAAAGGGCCAAGCTCCCTGTTTGCTCCCTGGGTTGCTGTCCCTGGATTTGGAACTATTAGGAAATCCAGATCTCTGACGCCCTAGTCTGTCTTGCTTCTGATCATCCACTAAGGGCTTTCTTGAAGCTATAGGCCAGGCTGGCTTTGCCTGCCTGACCCTCAGATTCCAAGTCCCTGAGTCCCATGCTTGGGCTCAGTTTCCGGTTAGCCTGCACTGGGTCTCCTTCATTACAATCTCCCTCTGCCTGGATGGTCTTCCAGGTACATCCTTGGAGGGCCATTTTTTTATATGAATGAACAGATGCATGTCAGCCCCTTCCAGTCTGACCCCTCCTTTTTGCTTATGGGATTCTAGTTGTGACACCTACCATCTCACAAGCAGCTGGGGCTTGTCCCCAGGCTGCTTGGGCCCCACCCAGTCCTCTGGCCCTCTGCTCTCCTTCCAGCTGCTCAGAATTTGGACCTAACTCCACACTCCAAAACCACACCCCCACTGGTTGTGAGGGGGTGGCTATTACCATTGGGAGCAATCCCAGGAAGGCAGTATTTGGTAAAACCATGTTCCTGCTTAAGTGTTAGGGAAGTACATTCCCTCAGGACTGGGGAATTCAGCATAAGGCTGCAGATTTTCAGTTAACGGGTGATTTTGCCAGCTACCTAGTCTCTTTGCCCAAGATGTACCAATAGAAGGCCTCTGGTAATAGAGTTGAAATGTATAAACTTTTAGTTATCTGTATTTTCTTCCAGTTCCTCACCTTTAAGATTGACCTGTTTCCTTCTAAAACAACAGAGCTTTTGAGCCATACTTGTTTTCCTTAAACAAATAAAGCAGAACCACTTTTAAAATTTCCATTTATGGAATAAAGAATAAACCACATGACACAAAATTCAAAAGGCACAAGGGGTATTGGGGAAGGCTCACTCCTACACTTCTCCCCACAGGTACCAGGGTCACCATTTTCTTGGGCACCCTTCCGGTGTGAAGGAGAACTGACTCGTGAGAACTGACCTGCTGGGGAGAACATTCTACAGAGCAGCTGCCTTGGAGGCCAACACTTGTATTTTGAGGAATACAGTCTGACTTATGGCACTTAAAAGTCTTCAAAATAAAAAGCAGCCATGTATTGACAGGGTCCTACTACAGCTCTTCATCAATAAACTACAAAACTTATGTTTGGCCCACAGAATTTACATCAGCTAACCTTTATTTTCTAAAAGACTTCCCCAGAATTAATAAGAAACACTAGAATCTATTTACAGCAAATATCCTTTATGCTCCCTTCCCCTATACAAATTCCTTTGAAAATCTAAAAAAAAAGGAGTTAAAATGGCAAGAAGATACATTTAATTTATTTGTTTTCCGTTGCCTCAATTTCTTGTCTGTTTTATGTCATGTATATATTTGTCTTAGGGCATACAGTCTGGTGTTTATTTTAGTGACTGACAAATTCTTCTGGAATAAGGTTTTAAGAGGTAGGAGGAAGATAATAAGGTGTGACTCAAGCTTGTCTTTATAAAGCTACATGGATTTATTTCCTTATGCAAAGCCATGCTGGGCCTAATTCTGAAAAACCCTAAGCTGAAGAAATATCGTATTTCTGCCGACAGAGCTGCAGAGTCTGGTGAACCTGTATTTAGAATCCTGTAGGGAAGGTGACTTAAATATTTGTTTTTGGTGCTGTTAATCAACGTACTTGTAGTGAAAGTTATTATGGATACTAAAATTATTTTTTTGCTCTACTAAAAATCTAGGCTGACATATAACAAAGCAGAATGAAGCTTGGCCCCTTATGTCAAATCAAGGGGAAAAGAACCCAACCCGGAAAAACAGATGAGGGATTTTTCCATAGATCTTATTTTACAAAATCTCACCTATTACTATATTTGAGAATTTGGCTATAATTGAAGTAAAGATGGTATCAGATTTCTGAATGTTACAGTGTAACTGAAAGAGGTGGTTTTTGTTAAGAGAGATTATTAAATGTGAAAGTAACACCTCATTTGATAATCTTGCTGCCCTTGGGAAAAAAA